AATTCAATTTAAATAAATAAAAAAGGAAGAAGGGGGGTGGGGTAGCGTGGGGACTTCACTGAACCACTCAGAGCTGGAGGGAATTCTAGTGGACTTCCAGTGAAGCAGAAGATGGCGTCTTGCAAGTAAAGAGGTAAAGGCCAAAATGTCTAGTTGCATGGGGGTGTATTGGCTATAATCTTCAGGAAGCCCAAATATAGCAATGTGGGGAGAAACTACTATAGTTATCGACAGTATTTTTGACATAGTGTCAAAGTTTTTCTTCCAGAAACAGGATAATAATGGGCAAGAATAAAACATGTGGGTTAAATTGCAGGATGAAGAATGGCATTTGTGGCAACTATCAATGACGTTGGTATATATAGTAATGACAGTCAAGCTTTTGAAAAGTGAGTTCTAAATATCACTTTGACTGTATGAGTGTCAAACGAACGCTAGTTGAGCTTGTGTGGATCTTGTCTAGTGCCTTATCCCACCAATTATCTTCCAGGCTCAACCCCAGCTCATTTTCCCAGGCTGCCTTGACCTTAGTGGCTGGTGAACTGTTATAGGATAGCAATTTGTTATAAACCTTCAAAATTAAAGATGTTTGGAGGGGATTAGAGCAGAGAAACTCATCCCATAATTTATTTGAAGGTGAATAAGGAAAAGTTGGGAAGAAAGATTTAATACAGTGTCTGATTTGAAAATAACGAAAGAGATGAGAGGTAGGGAGATGAAATTCAGGTCTGTAAAACTCCGAAAAAATACCATCCTATATAGGTTTTTAAACATTTCAGGCCTTTAGCATGCCATCCGGAAAAGGTGGAGTCTGTGAATGTGGGCTGGAATAAGTGATTCTCTAGTAAGGGAGCAAAAGTTAAAGCTGGAGTAAATTTGAACTGTCTTCTGAATTGGTACCAGATCTTGATGGTGGAAATTACCACTTGATTATTTGAAAAGCCAGAGGGGCTGTTTGGGATAGAGAAGGTAAGTAAAGCCGACAGAGAGGACAAGACACAAGATTGATAGATAGATAGACACACTTTATTCATCCCCGAGGGGAAATAATTGTGTTCCAGCAGTACAGACGTGCAAGTTAAACCAAAATTCAATTTTTTGGATGTGTACTGCCCGAAAATAATTTGGAAATTGGGGAGAGATAGTCCACCATTAAATTTGCATCTCTCCAGTAGTGATTTGCTAATTCTGGGTGCCTTTCCACACCATAAAAAAGAAGAAATTGTCTGATCAATAGTTTTAAAAGAGGATTTTGGCAAAAATAGGGGGGAGACAATTGAATAAAAACAGAAATTTGGGCAAGATGTTCATTTTCACTGCATTAATTCTTCCAATTAACGACAAAGGTAAACTTCATCTTTGATGGTCAGATTTGATTTTGGTCATCAGAGGGGAGAAGTTGGCAGAAAAAAGAGACATTAATCTTCTAGTCACATTGATTCCCAGATACTTGAAGCCAGATGGGCTCAATTAAAAAGGGATATCAGTCTGGTTAAGTTTTAGGGCCGAGGCATTGATAGGATAGCATTCACTCTATAGAAATGTTTACTTTATACCCTGAAAATGAATCAAATGTCTGTAGGAAGGATAGGATAGCAGGTATAGAATGATCTGGATCTGAGACAAATAGTAATAGATCATCCGCGTAAAGTGATAGCTTGAATTCCATGCCTGATCGAGATATCCCAGCAAAAACGGAAGATGACCTAAAATAAATTGACATTGGTTCTATTGCTAGGGCAAATGATAAAGGTGACAAGGGACAACGCTGTCGAGTGCCACCCGTCAGAGTAAAAAGCTGGATTGAATGCCATTGGTGGAGATGCTGGCTTTTGGGGATGTATAAAGGAGGCGTATCCATGAAATAAATATATTTCCCAGCCCAAATTTATTTAGAACAGCAAGCAAGTAGTCCCTTTTTCGCTTTTTCAGCATTAAGAGAGATCACAACTTCAGGGGAGTTTGTGGTTGTTTTAGAATGAATTATGTTTAAGAGGGATATTATAGAACAGCTGACGCCCTTTTATGAATCCAGTTTGTTCCTCTGAAACAATAGTTGGGAGAATATTTGCCAAGCGATGAGCGAGAGCCTTAGCAAGGATCTTAGCATCCACATTTATTAAGGAGAGAGGTCTGTACGAGCTGCAAAGATTTGGGTCTTTATCTTTTTTAGAAGCAGACTTATGGAGGCTTGTCTCATAGTGGGAGGGAGAGAGCAATGCTGCAGAGATTCAATGTAAACAAAGTGCAACAGTGGGGCCAGGTTATCCTAGAATCTTAAAATTTTTTTTAACTGGGTATCCGTCAGGGCCAGGAGCTTTACTGTTTTGCATGTTTTTCATTGCACTAATGATTACCTCTACACCACCACCAAAAAGAAAGAAGAGAAAAAAGGAAAAGACNTTTATTTATTTTTTCCTCAATATTTTTATTGAAAATATGGCACGAGGGGTAAAAGACATTTCAACAGAGAGAATCCTCGTTAAGGCCTCTAGGAACAATGATGGTACACTCAGAGGAACAGCGAGTCTCAATGGGTCCAGTGAAAAATACGCCAAAGTTTAAATTTCCTTTTATATCTCTGAAGCTTTGCCTTTATTTTTATTTGTGTCATGTTCTCTTCTCTAATATCTTATACAGGCAGTGACGATGAAGCAGTTTGAGTCTCGTACCTGCTCCGGTGTCAGACACCAGGTTGAGGATGTGACCGGGTTTGGAGTCGATGTTGAAGCAGACGTCCATGTTGCTCGTGGGCAGGTGGACGATGAAGTGAGGGTCGTTGTCCACTGGGGCAGAAACACACCAGTTCACAGTCAACACTGTGTGTGTGTGTGTGTGTGTGTGTGTGTGTGTGTGTGTGTGTGTGTGTGTGTGTGTTACCTAAGTTGACCTGCCCGGGCAGCATCCACTCCTGTGGACCCGTCTCAGCCGGACTCGGGGGGGCCGGAGTGGTCACCTGGACCCAGGGTGGAAGCCCGTGAACGACCCTCACCGGAGCAAGACCATTGGACGCTGAGCCCCCTCCCACTCCTGCCCAGAGGTGGAATATTTTTTATGAGTATTTAGATCCTTCACTGACATAAAAGTACTAAAACCACACTTTGAAAAATACACGTGATGATTTCCGAGAGCGTCTTCGATCTATTTCTCAGGAAATTAAAAAAAATCAGACATGAACTTAAAGATGTGTGTTTGATTAGATTTAAATAAAAGTCTGGATCTAGAAAATCTAACTTTCATTGGTTTGTCTTTTTTTATCAACTTATTCTCCTGTAGATGAGATTTCATCATTCTGCTTTCTTTTGTTTTTTTAATTTAATATAAGGGATAATTAAGGGATCTGATGTTGGGCCTCGGTGGATGTGAGATTTATTCTAGTTTTACATTTAATATAATTCCTTTTTAGTGAAACCACACCTCCTCTTCTTCCTCCTCTAACGTGCAGGATGTGTTTTGGTCAGTGAAACATTACATGTGGCATTAAACGGCCTTTCGTCAGGCACCTGAGCAGCAGCCGTGCTTGGGGTCCTTCGGGGAGTCGGCCAGCAGCCTCTCCTTGGCGTCCTCGCTCTCCACCAGCAGAGCGGTGAGCGGGGTGACGAACTGATGCTCCACGGCCAGAGACATGATCTGCTGGGTGATCTTCCTCTTCTTGGCGGCTGTCGGAGCCAGAGACCTGCAGGAGACACACACACACTCCGACCGCTGAGCACTGACAACCTCATCGACCTCACACGTTTCCACATGTGTCTTGTGTCCCTCACCTCTCAGAGATCAGCTGTTTGACGGTGAGGTAGGCCCACAGCTGCCTGGCGAAGCCCGTGAACGAGTGCTGCTGCTTGGCCAGCTCCGTGTCCAGCTCTGCCATGTTGGCCTCCGTCTGCAGGGTGATGTCCAGCCGGGCCTGAGGGACGAGACGGGGACACTGATGGCACCGGGTCTCGTTTTTCTTTGAACCCACAACTTCTGAATGTGCGTTTACGTGAAATAACGTTTTCCTCCTCTGAGATGGAGGTTTTGCAGCATCACACGTACCCATGATGCCACAGGAATCTCTCAGGGCTGAGATAACCAAACCGGTTCGGTTTGGAGTGTGTGTTTGTGTGTTTGACTCACAGCAGAGGCCGTGGTGAAGCTGGTCAGCGTGCTGCTCACGGACGGCAGCACCTTCCCAGCCACCACCAGCTCCGAGCCGCTGAAGTATTTATCGAAGTGGTTGTGCGTGACGTCGGACACGGCGTCCTCGGGGAACTGGACGGTGACTTTCCTCAGCAGGGGAGACGACACCTGGCTGTAAAACGCCTGCAGACGGAGAGGAGGGAAACTGAGTCTGTGACAAAGGAAATCCTCTAAATTCTGTTAATTAAACTTTGCTCGTTAAAATCCTTGGAATATCAAAACCTAAGAAAGTGTTTTTTCTTGCTCTTTTTCTGCATTGCTCTTATTGTAGATATTTGTTATTCCATCAGGGAATATCATTTTTCTTAATAGATAAGTATAAGATGATGATTCGGTATAATGGAAATGATGTTGAAGATGTTTTCTTGAAAGAAAAGAAAAGGCTGAACGATGCCGTGTCATCCTGTCGTACCCGCAGCTGCTCCGCGGCGTCGTGGTTGGCGTAGATCCTCTGAGCCATGCCCCTATTCTCCATGGCGATGCGCTCCAGGAAGTCGTAGTCCACGTCGAAGCCGATGCCCAAGGAGAACAGAGAAAACTCCTCTCTCATCACTCGCTTCACGTTCTTCTGGATGGTGCTGAGTTTGATTTCTCCTGCAGAGAAAAAAAAAAAAACAACGGCGGGTCAGCGAATGAAAATAAATCAGGACAAATGTGAAATCTTTCCTGAGCGAGAATCAGTCTTACCCACAGTGGGATCTCCGTCAGACACCAGGATGATCATGGAGACGGAGCGAGGGTCGATCATCCCCTGGTTGGACGCCCTCACCAGCATCTGAACTGCTCTCATCAGAGCCTCGTTGATGTTGGTGCCTGAGGTCAAAGGTCAAATAAAACTCAAATCAGAGCAAAGTTAAAAACTTCTCCTCCTTTAACCTTTTTTTTTCCCATGATGCCTCACCTCCGTTGGGCTTGATGTTCTGGATGTATTTCTTTGCGTCCGTGACCTGAATGGACGAGCCGTGCACCAGCTCCTCGCTCCAGCAGCGCACGTTGTGGTTGAAGTCGACGATGCTGAAGTGGTCGTCTATCGTCAAGTCGTCCAGAATGGCCTGCATGGCCTCCACCGTCTGAGAGGGGAGCGTTGTTGTTATGAAGGACAGGCGAGGGACGGACAGAGGAGCAGGAGGACGTGGAAACAACCTACCTGCTTCATCTTGACGCCCCACATGGAGCCACTGACGTCAATGACGAACACAATGTTTTTGGGGAGGGGGGACAGGTTGGACGGGGCGAAGAAGTGGACAAAATGGCCGTCTGAGACCTGGAGGAGGAAAGAGGACGCTTTAAGTTGCAGTCACCTCCAGAACCGTCTGACCCTGATGCTCCAGAGTTTGATACCTGCAGCTCTCCGGCGTTACTGTCTCGGGTCACATCGTATTTGACAGTGAAGACGCCGTCGACTGCGCTGCCGCTGCAGTTCTCACACTTCCTCTGCTGCTGCAGGTTCGGCTTGAAGACGACGTGAGCCTGAAGACAAAGTGAATCACAACATACGTTCAAACTGTCAATTAAACAGATTTCCATCACATCTCCTGAATCTAAGATTAGTAAAATTATTCTTTTCCAAGATTAAAATCAAAGTCAATGCTTATTTTCCCCTGATATTATATATAAATAGAGAGAGAGAGAGAGAGAGAGAGATTTAAATGTGGCTTCAAAGCTTCTTTCAGACACTTTACTGTAAAAATCCACTTTACTCTTAGTTTCTTGACTTTTAGAAAAACTCGAGATCCAGATTTCTTTTAATTTCTTTCCGTCTCAACAGAGACTCTGAACCTCCGTGTGATCTCCAGCGTTACCTTGTCTTTGGAGGACGTCACTTTGACGAGTTGTGAAAACTGTGAGCCCAGGGTGTTTGGTGTTTGCACCGTGGAGATTCCGTTTGGCTCGTAGATGTACACGTCCACCTGCAGAGAGACAGGTGAGTGATGATCTCACACACACACACACACACACACACAGTGTACACATCATCTTATTCTGACCTGGAACTGAGGCACCAGCCTCCCGGGCTGCAGGTACAGCGAGTGCTCGTAGAAACCCAGCCTCCTCTGCATCATCTCCTGGTAGTGGAGCTCAAACTCGATGTTGCTGCCTGGAGGAACGTGGACCTCTGTCTTGAAGGTCTCCATGTCCTGGGAATTAGCCCTGAAAAGACACGAAGCTTCATGAAGCTGCTGAGCTCCGCAGCTGATTTCTCCAGGACGCTGCTTCGGTACCTGACAATCCCCGCTGCCTTGCCTCTGGCTCGGGCCTGAGCGTACAGGTTCCTGGCGACTGTCTTCTCCTTCACGGAACCCGTGAACGTTATCCCGTTCACGTTCCTGCGGCAGAGAGTGAAAACCTTGAAACACATTCTGCTGGTTCTGTTTAATCTGGACTGTGTGGACCTGTGAGGGGCGGGGGGGGCGGGGGGCTCACATGGTGAAGTTGGTGATGAAGGCCCGTTTGGGGATCTGGACGTTGAAGCCGATGCTCTGGGCCGTGGAGGCTGAGTTGACCACGGAGCTCCTGACGGTGGTGTGGGCGAAGCGGGACGTGATGCGGCTCTCCATCTTGTAGCTCTTGACGGTGATGTCATCTCCACGGATGGCCTGAGGAGGGGAACAGAGAGGACGTCCTTCAGGTTTCTCACCTGGACTTCACTCGATCGCTCATCTTAAACATTCAAGTCTTAATCATTCTCTTGTACACGATGCATGAATTATTACACACTACCAAAAATATTCTCCTTCTATTCGTTACTTAAATCACATCACATTTAAGATCTTTGACATTCTAAAACATTCGTGGTCCTTTAGAAACCGATGTGTCCAGAGACACTGAGTCAAAATTTGAAATTTAAAACTGAGTTATCAACTTGGTGTGATGACCTCACACGACTGATGTGATCTCTGACAGGTAAAGAGAGGCGGACAGAGAGCTGGATTAGTCGGGGGACAAAGTCAATAACCCTTCAGTCACGGGAATCTGTCCAAACAGCAGCTCATTGATTATTAGATAAAGTTCAACTCTGTCACAGTGAAGAGGCTCCGACAACACGACGAGAGGCCTACTTCAAAATCCTCCTGCTCCTCGCTGGTCAGTATGGCTCTCTGAAACACACACACACACACACAGTCTGGTTGATTTTTGTGTCATGTGTTTTCCACTGATCTGTTGCAACATCACTGATGAAAAGCAAAGTGAACTCACCTTGTGTCTCCTCTGAGGATCCTGAAGATCTGACTGGTGAAAGAAGAGAAACACAATTAACCCCTGAGACGAGTGAATCCTGCAAACTGTTTTATTTTCATGTATTTTACATCATATTTATATATTTAGACTTTTTTTTAAAATAATTTTTAAATATGTGTATTTATATAAACGTAAAGTTTGTGCACTAAAGATTAAAATCTGATTACTGAAGCCAACTATCACATTCCCTATCACATTCCCATTTCTAGATTTTCAGATTTTAAATTAATCTCAGACTTCCATTAGAAAACCTCATAAATATAGAAAACGTAAAGTTTCTGTCCTAAAGGTGAAAATCAGATTCAACAGTCTCACGTAATGAAACCAGTGAAGGTGAATGAGACGTGTTTTTGTGTTTGTTGTTTGCTCAACGAAGCACAAACTTCACAGACGGAAAAATATTGACTGATGACGAAATGTTTGGTCGCAGAATAAAACAAAGTGCAACATTTAAAAGTGGTAATGATTAAATCAGAGGGGCAGTTAGTTCTGCACCGACAATGAAAATCATTTTACGCGCGAAAGTTAGAGTGATTGAAATCATTTAGTCAAAAAAAAATAATTCATGAAAAAATGTAAAAGTGTGCATGTGACAAACAATTTGTAGGAAGGATGAAAAACAGATTTAAACATTAACTATAGAAAACAGTAAAAGGGATTTTTTTAAATGTGTTTTAAAAGCAACAATCAACTGCTCTTGCAAAACTTTCAACTTCAATTTACTTTTGTCTCAATTCTCACATTTAGAGACAAAATACATTTTTACGTCCTCTTGTAAATGATTTCAACATTTCAACATTTCACATCAGCTTGTTCGAGTTCTGATCTGTGAATAAAAAAAGTTCCCTGTGATCACCCTCCAACTCACTGTCTCTTCCTCCCATTCTCCATCGATCACAAACTCAAAGCAGCGGCCCTGGTGGAGCAGCAGGAGCCCCAGGAGCAGCAGCAGAGGACGCCTCATGTCTCCAGGCCTGTGGGCTCAAACACACACACACACACAATCACACATGAAGTAAAAAACCACACACAGCTCGGGGGACACGCACGGTCCTTCTGCAGGGGGGAGCCTTGTGGAAACGCTGCCGAGCTGGACGTTGAGATCCAGTGAACTGATCGACTCCCGGCCCCGGTCAATATTTGTTGTGTTTGGTGAAACTCAGAGAAGGAAACTTTGAAACTTGACCTGTGGCGAGGGCCGGGCAAACAGGACAAGATCTGACTCACAGATTAACTGAAAGGAATCAAGTGAGACACAGTTTTCAGAAGAGACGAGATTAAAAAAAAAAAAAAACACAGTCGGATCCTCGCGGTGCAGATTTGGTCAAACTTCTTTCAGATGAGTTCTAATGAAGAACTTAAATAATGTTAAAGACACATTCTCAGGTTACTTCAGGGACGTGTAATGCTGCATTATGGCCACAAGGTGGCGTTAAAGTCAGTGTAATATCTGAGGCCTGCAGCTGAGTGAAGCATTATGGGCTTTACGCAGAGTCACTGAAAAACAACAGAGTAAATACAAAGTGTGAAAAAGGGAAACTACAGAATATCGAACTGTCTTGTTGCGTTTTAATTATTTCACTTTGTCACATAGAGTTTAAAATAATATAAGTTACAGGGAATCTATTTTAATTGTCTTTATTAATTATGAGAGCAGCTCATTAGATGTTATGACGCCCCCTACAGGCAGCTGGAGAACAACCTGCCTCCAGGGACTGAGCTCCTCATCCCTCTCCTCCAGTGGGAGGGTGGGGGGGGGGTCGTACTCCTCCTCCTCCTCTCCACGCCGTGTCACTCGCTCCTCTGGCCGGTCACTGAGCTCCGGACGCAGACGAAGCCCCGGAGATCATGTCTCATTCACGCTGTTGAGTTTTCACGGAGCAGGACGACGAGATGCTGCTGCTGCTCCTGGTCTGCGCCGTCCCGGCCGCTCTGGCTCAGCTGGAGGAGTCCCAGTCCGAGGATGAGCTGGATCTGGACTTGGCTGACTTTGATTTGGACATTGTAAGATGTTTATGTGAAACATGCTGGAGTTTTGGACTTCTGGATTTCCTCATGTGTGACCTTTCTTCTCTTGTCCCCACAGACACCACGCAGGGTCCCTCGACAGGTGAAAACTTTACTGTCCAAGGTAAAAATCAGATTTACAACAGATGTGAGCGTTTTACGCACCTTTTCCCTCAGGTGTTAAAGGTTTGGGTTCGATTTGAATTCTTTTATTCTACTTTTAAAATGTTATTTTAACGGAATAAGAAGCAAATGTCTGTCCTAATATATTGGTAAATATTGATATTCTGTGATTTATTCTTGGTTTTATGGTTTTATGGTTTGATCTATAGAGACTTTGACCCCACCCTGACATTTAGACAACGTCTGACTAACTATCCTTAGTGATCCAGAATGCATGACCTAGTTTAAATTATTTACAAGTGGATTTTCTCATCCCAAACTTGCGCGCATTGGGCGTGACGCACAGAGATCCGCCAAGCGCGCAGATGTGCCAGAGGAGCTGTAATGCGCTGGATCCCAACTCATGGGAAAAAAAAAAACTTCTCTCTTCTTCTCTGCTTGATTAGTGAGAAAACAGAGAAGTGCAGCTTCCCCGTGTTGAGTCATCTCACGAAAAAAAACCCCAACAATTATCAATATGCACAAAAATGATGCGTAAAAATCGAGCCAGGTTTAGCCTCCGTGGCGCAGGTCCAGGTTTCATTGAGTTGTTTTTTTTTGAACGTTTCTTTTGCAGGAGACCAAACCTCACATCCAGGAACTCACCATCAAGACCACCATCATCTCCCGCTATGCCTTCACCGCGGTGTACTGCGCCATGCTCAACCGACACTCCGCCGCCACCGAGGGGGTCTTCCACTTCCAGATCCCCGCTGACGCTTACGTCTCCAACTTCACCATGTAAGAGTCCCGCAGGTCACCGAGGACGAGCTGGAATCATAAAAAGTCTTTACTGAGATGAGATTGAGGAGGAAACTGGAAACTTCCTTATTTTAATCTTATAGAAAAATACTGAAATACTGAATTACTGTTACACGGTGTTGGAAAATATTTTACCTGCTGCAAAAACATGAAACCATACAGAGAGAAGATGGAGACGCAAGTTTTCACTGGAAGGTTTAGATTTAGAAAGTACGAATGTCCCTTTTAACATCTTTAGAAAAGTCTGAATATTTCCAATCTTCCTTATGTCCAAAATGTAAATCGAGGATCAAATGATAAATATCAAACTCATAATCTCAGACGCTCCTCGATCTCAGCGGAGGTGGAAGAATTTCAAACTTATTTATGGGCTGCAGGGATTTATGATGTTTTGGTTGCTATGGAGACGTGAGCAGGACCCTCACAGTGCCTGTAGTTCAAACCTGTGTGGGACCAGCAGGATCACTGGCCACAGACAGGAAACCCAGGTTGAACCGTGACAATAGGTGGTCCTGAATCTCCTAATCCTCGACCTTTGACCCCCCCCCGTGAACCAGGATTATCGGAGGGCGTGTCTACCAGAGCGAGGTCAGGCCCAAGGGAAAGAGGGTCAGACAGGACAACGGCAAACCCAAACACAAGGAGTCAGGTGACGCAAGGTAAGAGAAACCTGAGTGAGTGTGTGAGTGTGTGTGTGTGTGTGGCCACTCCTATGGACTGGCGTCTCCTCCTAATTACACAGCTCCCTCCCCACACCCGCTCCCTCTAATGTCCCTATTTTGCAAACACACATTGATAATACATCATCTCCAGCCATGACACAGAGCCTGTGTGTGTGTGTGTGTGCGGAGATCACTGCTCCTCAGAGACAAAGATGTCATATAAATCTGACATATGGAAGAAGTGACATCACGTTTCCAGTCGTCATGTGAAAAGTGACATTTCATTTCAAAAGGATTTTGTGATTCACTGACTCCTCTGTAAAAAAAAAAAAAAAAAATGAAGAACACGAGGCACGTCTCCTACGTCCTCCCTCTCTTCTCCAGCCCGCAGCCGGAGGTGGAGGTGTTTAAAATGGCCGTCAACATACCAGGAAGGAACCGGGCCGTCTTCCTGCTCACCTACGAGGAGCTTCTGAAGCGCCGCCTGGGACGATACGAGCAAGTGACCAGCCTGCGGCCGCTTCAGCTGGTCAGCCGCCTCAGCCTGGACGTCTCCATCATCGACCACTCCCCGATCAGGGACCTGGAGGTGCTGCCGCTCCGCAACGGCAAGACACCAGGTATCCTCCGAGCACAAATACCTCATGTATGCCTTTAAAATGAAAAGGTTCTTTCCAAAAGGCGCTGGCCACAGTTTATTTCCGCTCCTAGGCCTCGACCACTTCGCACCATTTTTACCGTTTTGGTTCTCGAGCCGGTTAAAACACAAACGCACTTCCTCTCTTTGTGCTCCAGCCAAGCCCGAGCCTCCCATCACCACTGCGATCAAACACGAGAAGAACGTCTGCAGGATCACGTTCAGCCCCAACATCGTCCAACAGGCCAAGATCACGACCAACGGCCTCCTGGGAGACTTTGTGATCCGCTACGACGTCCAGCGAGACATGGGGATCGGGGACATTCAGGTGAGAAACCGAAACACACAAACATAAAGACACAGTCGAGGAAGAACTGTGAAACACACACACACACACACACACACACACACACCTGTTACTCATTTCTCTGGCCTCCTGCCACCGGCCTCACTCCGCTGCCAAACTCCTCTGTCTGTCTCCAGAACAGTTTTCAACCAACAATCACACACGACTCCTGAATCTGATCTCACGGTCCGGCTGCGTCTCCCCTGCCTCACATTTCCCTCTGTCTCTTGTCTCCTCCAGGTTTTAAACGGCCATTTTGTCCACTACTTTGCTCCCAAAGATCTGCCGGTCGTCCCCAAGAACGTGGTGTTTGTGATCGACACCAGCGCGTCCATGCTGGGGACGAAGATCAGACAGGTGAAGCAGCGCCGAGGAAATCTAGAAAACAGCTGTTAAATTAAAGCCACGGCGAATGTATCACGCATCGTATAAGTTACATCTGCTTCCTGTGAGGTGACGTCAAATGTCCTTCCTCTGGACGGAGTTTCTTCTCCTGCAGATTAGGTTTTTTTTTAAGGTTTAGGCTTTAATCCATTTTCCTTCCTTCATGGGCGTCGTAAGTTTCTCATCGTGCAAGATTCGATAACGTTGAACGTGCAACTTTATGTTTTCGGGTTGTCCGTCATCTTCTCTCTCAACAGCACCTTGAGGGAACGTCTTTGTATTTGGTGACATTACAAACCCTTTTTTTTTTTTTTTTTGCCGTATGAAAGCACGAGCGACGTCAGCGGCACCATCTTGGTGCCTTCAGGGAATCTCTTGACATTTTGACAAAATGTCACTTTGCATGAAATGATTAGATCTCAGAGGTCAAAGGTCAAAGGTGAAGGTGACCTCATGAGTCTGGGAACATTTTTTTATGGACACTGAAACTGCAGGGATCGGTGGAGGCACACAAATGCAGGGCGGTGATACGAGCTGGTATTTCTTCATATTTAACATTTTACTGCATTTATTATTTAATGACGTTATTATCAACACATGATAAATGATGATTATGTCTTTTGCTCAGATATCTGGTTTAGATTCTGAGTAAACTGGACACTCGCTCTGGGATTCAGGCTGATTCCTTTGACATATCAAGATGTGAAATCATTTTTGTTTTCTCTTGAGGGGCTTCTGGGGAAAATCTGATTAACTCTGGCTTCCTGTTCGACAGCAGTTTACTGTGATTTCAAGCAGGATTTGAAATGAGTGTATAGGATCAGAAACCCGACTCCTCACCTCCTCACACCCACACTGGAATATCAATATCAGACCTTTTCCCTCCGTCTGTAGCAGCACGTTAATCCCCTCGGCCTGATCCCCGCAGCTGCCGAGAGAGAAGAGCACAGAAACAGAACTGACGAGAGAAACTGATAAACAGAGCGAGAAAGAAAAGTGGAAAACACTTCGGCACAAGGCCGCGCTGTGAGGGAGGAAGGTCAGCGTCTATGGGGTAATGGAACTTTGGAGACAACGGCACCCTCGACCCTCTGATCCGTCCCCACCACCCATCGGGCCGCAGGAACAGAACAACATGTGTGTTTTGATGCAGCTTCACAATAGAGGGCTTCAGCCTGTGGGTCTGACCTCTGCAGCATACAGCTCATACAGGCATCTGTAAACCCCGCAGCGCCAAATTATATATCACACCCACGCACAGGGCTGCACGGAGGACAATGTGAAACTCCAACGACAGGAAGAAGTCTTTGTGTCGATGAGCCGGCAGCGTGAAAATCAAACTAATGCAGGGAAATACAGGAAACACCTTCTTTTTTTAATGCCGAGATTTAACAGTTCACTTCGGATGGAGCTCAAAACCCACCGAGTACAATGACAGATGAATGACTGCAGCACAAGATTCTTTGGACAAGTATAACAAAATATAACAGAAATATTTAAATTCACTAAACAGCAATAATCTATATAATCTGTGTAAAACATCTGCAGCTGTGTTTGAATGTATTTTTATTTTGTACACAGGATTTTGATCTGAGAGCAGTTTCAAATGGACCTTTTCCATTATGTCGTGAAATCATTTATCGTTTGTCTCTCCATCCCAGACTAAGGACGCTCTGTTGACCATCCTGAAGGACCTGCGTCCCGGCGATCGCTTCAACTTCATCAGCTTCTCCAACAGGATCAAAGTGTGGCAGCCGGGTCGTCTCGTCCCGGTCACACCGCTCAACATCCGAGACGCCAAGAAGTTTATATACATGCTGGTGCCAACGGGAGGTGAGACTCTAACGTCGTCATTTTGTCCCCTTCATCACACGAGAGTTAATCTCCGGTAACATCCCTCGACCTGCAGGTACAAACATCGACAGTGCCATCCAGACAGGCGCCTCTGTGCTCCGCGATTACCTCTCTGGCCCGGACGCCAGCCCCAACAGCGTGTCCCTCGTTATTTTCCTGACGGACGGGCGACCCACGGTCGGTCAGACCCTGTCCACGGCAATCCTGGGCAACGCCCGCTCTGCCGTGCAGGAGAAGTTCTGCATCTTCACCATTGGGTTGGGAAACGACGTGGATTATCGGCTGCTGGAGCGGATGGCCCTGGAAAACTGTGGGATGATGAGGCGCATCCACGAGGAGGCCGACGCCAGCGCGATGCTCAAAGGGTGAGAGTTTGTTTGGAAAACCCAACATATGGGAATGTTGCATCTGTTTGCTGACTCCTGCATTACCCAGAAATCAGTTGTACCACACAACACTTACTATAAACTTCAGAAACAGATGAATGACAAAGCCTTTAAGGGTTTAATTTGTACGATGACAGAACTGAATATTTCTCAAAGTCAGTAATTTATGTCCAGTTCTTTCTCTCAATTAGCTCGGCTAATCCCTCCCTTCTCCCCGTCTGACACAAACCTCCATCTGTCATCGAGCTGCGAAGGAACGAACTGTGCAAATGTGCCGGTGCTGACAACAGACCACTTTAATCAACTCCACCATGTGACAGCCACAGTCTGCTACAGCCTCCATCTTTCTTTCTTTTACACACAACCCTCTTCTCTCTCTCTATCTTCGGCACTGGGGCACACAAGGTGTTTGTTCAGTGGAGCAGGAATGTGTGTGTGTGTGTGTG